CTGAAGAATATGTTTATTAATGAACTTCAATTAAATTAAAGGAAAAAAATCTCATGCAACCGAGATACAAACAAATTACTTAACGTGTCTGGCACTGTTTTAGTGTCGGATGGAAATAGTTAGAGGGTGGCTTGCTAAGAAATTTATCAAAAGATTTTTTTTTTATAAAATTCATTTTGCGTCAGATATATCTAAGTTATCTTTATCATATCAAAAATTTGTGTTTCCAAACATTTTTCTTTGAAAACTCACAATGAAAGTGTAATTTCAGAAATTTGTTTCCAACTGCAATAAGGTTCAGTTCACTCTCTTGCATTAATACAATTTAAAGCATGTAAAATATTCACCAACTATCAATTTTCAATTTGTTTTTAAGTTTAATAAACACCAAATCATTCAACAGACAATTTTAAAACCTTGGTGCCTTTTTGAAATAATTTCCATCCGACACTAAAACAATTTCCATCCAACACCAAAACCCACAAGACAAAAACAAATATCAATTTCTTATAATTTTCAGTAGTTTTGTATTTTGTATGGCATTTAAGACTTTGTTGTACAGTTTAACAATGCAATAAATTTGCATAACAGCACTTTTAGGGAAAACAGGAAAATGACCAAAAATAGTTTCTTCTTAAATTGTTCAACAGATTTACCATGATTTCAAAAACGAAAAAAAAGTTATTTATGACCTACCAAAGAATTTTTATAGGTAAAGCAAGTAAAATCTGATGTTGGTAATATCCAAAGGTTTATAAAAAGTCTTGAATTTTCTAAATAATAGGTAAAGAACCGAGATATTGTACAATTTTGCATCAATCAGTGAGAAAAGAATGTCTTTACCTAAAGCCATCAAAGCAATTGTCATAGACCAAATAAAAGTCAAAAGAGTCTCATTGTTCAAGTCCTTTAAAGGTGGGTTTATACAGAGCGCGAATGCGACCGGCGCGAACGCGACTTTTCATCAGTTCAGTCATTCAAATAGAGCGCGAACACGAACGTGGAAAACCGTCGACGGCTTTCAATGCGGATCGCCTCTTTTGTTGTTAAAATTTGGTCATATGGTCATTTTGGAATCATCTCTCCGATTCCCTTCCAAATATCTTTCTTTTTTACTGTCTCTTTGTAAGTTTTTTCAGCTTTGTCAAACATAACTGGATTCTTTTCAACTTCTAAAATCAAAACTTCCGTTTTATCCATTGTTTGTACCCTACAAGCAAATTGGAAAAGCCATGTGCACAAGTTTCTATTTTAGGAAATGATGCAAGGGAGGTGGTACAAGCTGATTGGTTGATAGCAAGAAATCCGCGCGACTTTCTGAAAAATTCACTCTTGGGGCAATCTCGGCGGTCGACCGCGCGAACAAATATTTGTTCGCGTTCGCGTTCGCATTCTATTTGAACGGTCCCTCTATAAAATGATGACACCATTCCATGACGAAAAACCGCGTTCGCGTTCGCGCTCTGTATAAATGCACCTTTACCCCTTCACCTTAATTCAAACTCTAGCCTTCATTATCTTAGCTTAAAGTTATATTTTATGATAAAAACAACCGTTGTTGACATATATTTCCATCCGACACTTTTATATTTCCATCCGACACTTTTATATTTCCATCCGACACCAAAATGAAATCAAATTTCAAGCGATAATACCACAAGTGTGCATTTATAATCATGACCTGGGCCCCGTTTCTCAAAATATCTTACGATCAAATTTATCGTAAGTTTACAACTAATTCTGGTGTAAATTTACGATTGACCAAAGCTGTCGTAACTATCAGGTGGTAGAACCAAATGGTCTTTTTTCACAATGATTAACTGTATTGAATGGGAAAAGATAGCTTGCCAGGCAAGGTAATATACGCCCACTGGCAGCTTTGATTTTGAACATAAATATTTAGCAGTACAGTAACAATCACCAGTATGAAATATTCAACCTTCAGTCATACACTTCTTTTGAACTCTTTAGGGCGATACTGAATAATATTGAGTTATTTCCCTAGTTCTTGAAAACATGTTCAATCTTTAGCTCGTGAAAACTCTAGAAGACAAATATTCAATTTTCAGCACGGTAATGATTAATAAAACCAAGTTTTGTCAAAATTCGGCAAGAATCATGCCTTCTAGACTGTTTACAAGCACAAATTGAACGAGTTTTCAAGATCAAGGGCAATAACTGATACTAAATATTGTTTGATTTTTCTGATTTTCAATAGGGTTTATCCTTGGTTGATAACAAACACTCAAGCCAAATTCCGTTAAAATCCGTCAAGAATTGTGCCTTCTAGAGTTTTTACGAACTAAAAATTGAACGCGTTTTCGAGAACAAGGGCAATAACTAATACTAAATATTTTTCGAATTTTCTGATTTTCGATAGGGTTTATCCTTGGGCGATTAGGAACACTCATACCAAGTTTCATCAAAATCCGTCATTAATTGCACGTTCTAGAGTGTGTACGAGCATTTCAAGAACAAGGGCAATAACTCATAGTAAATATTTTTCGATTCGTCTGATTTTCAATAGGCCTACAGACTAGTTTCTATAGCTTTATTCTAAAATTTACCTTTATTGGGGATGAAGATTTCCCTTTTACCAGAGATATATTTTCAGTAGGCTAACCTTCTTGATTTTGCGTACACATTTCGATTTTCTTGACGCCTCACCTTCCATTGCCAATTTGTCATCGGTCCGTCCACAATTGCTCGTAAACACTCTACAAGACACAATTCTTGACGGATTTTGACAAAACTTGGTATGTGTGTTCGTAATCACCCAAGGATGAACCCTATTGAAAATCAGAAGAATCAAAAAATATCTAGTATGAGTTATTGCCCTTGTTCTTGAAAACGCGTTCAATTTTTAGCTCGTAAACACTTTGAAAGGCACAATTCTTTGGATTTTGACAAAACATGGTATGAGTGTTCGTAATCACCCAAGGATGAACCCTATTGAAGAAAAGGAGAATCGAAAAATATTTAGTATGAGTTATTGCCCTTGTTCTTGAAAACGCGTTCAGTTTTTAGATCGTAAACACTCTAGACAATTCTTGATGGATTGTAACGAAACTTGGCATGAGTGTTTGTAATCACCCAAGGATGAACCCTATTGAAAATAAGAAGAATCGAAAAATATTTAGTATGTGTTATTGCCCTTGTTCTTGAAAACGCGTTCGATTTTTAGCTCGTAAATACTCTAGAAGAGACAATTCTTGATGGATTTTAAAGAAACTGGGCATGAGTGTTTGTAATCACCCAAGGATAAACCCTATTTAAAATCAGAAGAATCGAAAAATATTTAGTATGTGTTATTGCCCTTGTTCTTGAAAATGCGTTCAATTTTTAGCTCGTAAACACTCTAGAAGGCACAATTCTTGATGGATTTTGACGAAACTTGGCATGAGTGTTTGTTATCAACCAAGGTTAAACCATATTGAAAATCAGAAAAATTGAAAAATATTTAGTATGAATTATTGCCCTTGCTCTTGAAAACGAGTTCAATTTTTAGCTTGTAATCACTCAAGAAGGCACAATTCTTGACGGATTTTGATGAAACTTGGTGTGAATGTTCGTAGTCACCCAAGGATGAACCCTATTGAAAATCAGAAGAATTAAAAAATATTTAGTATGAGTTACTGCCCTTGTTCTTGAAAGCGCTTTCAAATTTAGCTCTTAAACACTAAACGGCATGATTGTTGCTGGATTTTGACAAAACATGCTTTTATTTTTTAGTCCCGCGCTGAAGATTGAATATTTGCCTTTTAAAGTTTTCATAAGCTAAAAATTGAACACGTTTTCAAGAACAAAGGCAATAACTCATACTCAATATTATTCATTATCGCCCTCAATAGTTCAAAGAAGTGTATGACTGAAGGTTGAATATTTCATACTGGTGATTGTTACTGTAATGCTGAATATTTTTATTCAAAATCAAAGCTGCCAGTGGGCGTATATTACCTTGCCTGGCAAGCTTTCTTTTTCTTCGCCATAGAAGATGTTCGAATTGAGCTGACGAATAGTCCCTAGGAGTTATTGCCGATTTCTAAGGGTTACATTACCAAAAGATAAAACGATTCGAATCAATTCCGGTAGAGGTATAATACTGAAGTTTGTGCAATTTTTCTTATATACACGAAATAGTCACATTTTGAAGGCCCGTTGTTAGGCATGTGGGTCACTGAGGTAATTCTTAGTCCCTAAGAGTCATTGTCGATGTCTAGGGGTTACATTACCAAAATATGAAATGATTCTAATCATCACTTCCGGTAGAGGTATAATACCGAGGGTGTGTAATTTGGCTCATATACACGATATAGTCACATTTTGAAGGCCCGTTGTTGAGCATGTTGGTCACTGAGGTAACTCATAGTCCCTAAGAATCATTGTCCATGTCTATGGGTTACATTAACAAAAGTTGAAACAATTCCAATCATCACTTCCGGTAGAGGTATAATACTGAAGTGAGTGAAATTTGGCTTATATGCACGATATAGCGATATGTTTGTAAGCCTGTTGTTGGACATGTGGGTCACTGAGCTGACTCATAGTCCCTGAGAGTCATTGTCGATGTCTAACGGTTACATTACCAAAAGATGAAATAATTCTAATCATCACTTCCGATAGAGGTATGATACTGAAGTGTCCCAAGAAAGACCTTAACACCCTACATTTCATAAATTCTTACACCAAAAGAGACCTAAACACCCTACATTTCATAAATTCTTACACCAAAAGAGACCTAAACACCCTACATTTCATAAATTCTTACACTAAAAAACACCTAAACACCCTACATTTCATAAATTCCTACACTAAAAACACCTTCAATCAATTCCTACATTCCATCAAAAAAAGCATATTAAAAATACCCTTGTATAAAATAACTTCCTTGTTTCGCTTAACATCCGGTTTTAATAATGTAGAAACTTCTAGAAGGAAGATGACTCTTTTTGGAAAAAAAATCAGACCACAATTTTCTACTCAATTTTTAAACATTAAAAATGGCAAATGAAATACTAGATCCAATCTTTAAATTTTACGATCCGATTCGTTATTCATTTAATAAGAAAAAAGAGGATTATATTATCATCTCACCGACTGTTGGTTCTAAATCCCAGTTGAATGATGGTGGTAGAATTACCTTCGAAATAAATTCATTATCGAATTGGTTGCTTCTTTCCTATGCTTATTTCAGATGTGATTTCAAAATTAAAGATGGAACTCCCAATGAAAATCTTGAACCACAAACTAATACAACATTAGAAAACAATTTCTTTCCATCTTTATTTAGCGAGATGGTTTTGGAAGCTGGTTCAAATCCGATAGAAACAATTAAACACCCTGGGGAATTCGACACAATGTTGAAAACAGTTTTATATCCTAAAGATTTCGATTCAGTCTCAGGTTGGATACCCGATGTTGGAGATGGAAGTGTTTTAAAAGAACCGGTAAGAAATCTTGCAAATGATGCTGATTTAGCTAGAGTGAGAGTTGTTGCTCGAAACACAATAGAAAGAGTAGCACGAGCAGCTAATCATGGATTTGAAAAACGAGTACTTCAGTATAATAATGTTGTTGAGAATAAAAGGTGGGGTAATTACGTAAATTGGAAATTATATCCTTTATTCGGTCTGTTGGAACACAGAAAGGTTTCTTTAGGGTTACCATATAAAATTCATCTACAAAGAGAAATCAACGATGATAAGATATTCTTTGGAGAGAATGCTTTAAATGCAAAATTAGAAATAACGAATCTCCAACTTTTCATACCCGTAATAACACCATCAATTGAAGTAGAAACGAGAATATTCAACTCATTAACTAAAGATATTGAAATAGCTTTTCTTCATCGTAATACGGTAGGTAGCATGACTTTAACTGGAGAATCCACCACATGGCCAATCACTAACACTATTAAACCAGCAAGATATTTAATGGTTGGTTTCAAAAACTTACCAGATTCTCAAACGAATAACAATAATGTCTTCAGAGTGGCAATGAACCAAACTCAAGATCCTTTAATCCATAAGTTCAAGTAAGATTTAACAACGATAATTATCCTAACCAACCTTTAACAATTAATCCAGAGTTCGCACAGCCTTGAAAAACCGTTGAATTCCGTCCGTTGCCTTGAAAAACCTTGATTTCAAAAAAGGTCTTTCAAAAAACACCATAAAAAAGCAATTTTCTCTTATATCATCTAAGGTCCTAATTATAATACCACCATATTCAATCGGTTTGGGGTGATGAGGGGTGGATTTATATTCTGAAGCTAATTTTTTTTTATTATCCTCTTGACTTTTTAATATTGGTTGAAATAGAGTTTGTAGATTTTCTGTTAATCCAAGTTGTTGTAATTTGTTTTTTTCAACTTGGGTCTTTATTTTATTCTTAGCTTTGATATATTCTCTATTTCTTTTTAAAATATTATTCCAATTATCCATTTTAAAAAAAATAAAATTAACATATGTCGATCATAACTCTTTCACCCGCAGGTTTTCTAGTATTTACAAATACATATCCATGATCATCTGGGTTTCTCCATTGAGCTTTACAAACCTTTTTAAATGCATCTCTGTCCATTCCGTGATTAATCGACTGAATGATTTGAGATAAATCTTTATCGTTTAATTCAAATAATAAAAAACAATTTGCATTTTTTCTAATGAACATAGAATACATCCCGTAAAAAGATTGGGATTGGTATATGCAGTGACAGTTGTGATGTCTTCCTTTCGTGAAGAATTCTTGTTGAACAGCTTGATTTCTTTGGGCTACGCAGTCGTCAAACAATATTAAGTTCTTTCGATTGCTATCAATATTAGACAAGTCTAGATCATTAAAATTTTTCGTAAGAAAAACTTTTATATCCGTTGGATTCTTTGATTTAATGAAGTTATCTATGATATCTTTTATTTCCACTTCTTCTTCTTTTTCTAAGTCATATTGAAATAGGTCTTAAAATATCTTGCTTTAGAAAATATTCTAAAGCTTTGAGGAATTGATAATACGATTGCTCTGGTGTTGTTGTGTAGATATATAATGAATCGAAATCTAAAAGGTTTGGTGTTGTCAACATGTTAAAAATGAGATGAGTTTTCCCAGAACCGGAACTACCGCATATACACATGAGGTTATTAAGAAATATTTTTTCCCATTTTTTATTATTTTATTTTATTCCAAAAATCACTCCTTCTCCTTTATACTTTGAAAGAAATAATCCTTCTCCAGTGTGTATATTTTTTAAAAATATTCCATTACCCTTATGTTTGACTTTGACTTCTCCTGTGTCAATACTATCTACTAGTTTAACAGTTTTCTTGGTTTCTTCCCCAAATCTTTTTCCAAATTCTTTTATTGTGCCTATCATATCTCCCACTCCTGAACCTTTGGCTTCCTTTTCCATTATTAAATTATGTCTGCGTTCTTCAGCGGCTTTAGCATCAGCTGCTTTCTTTACGTCGGCAGCTTTGACTGCGGCAGATATTCTACCAGTTGCTGCACCCGCCGCTGCAATACCACCAAATATTAAAGGTAGAAGGAGAGGTAAAAATCCACCTTCTTTCTAAATCTATATCGTCTCTGACTTTACAATATTTGTATTTATCAATAAGTTTTTTAGTTATGCTGATTTTTTTACCATTGAAAGTTATTACAGTTGGGGAAGCTGTTTCAATAGCTTCTATTATTTTCATACTCAAAATTTCTACATGCAATTAGAAAGTCAGGACCAGAAACAAGAAGACTGAAAGAAGTTGATTTATATATAACAAAAGTTATTGAGCAGGATGAAGAGGAGGTAGAAGATTATGCAGAAGATTATCCACCAATCATACAAGAAATAGACGAATTCGAAAATATTGTATCTGGACAAGAAATAGACGAATTCGAAGATATGGTATCTGGACAAGGTATAACGTTTTTATCCGACAACAACGAGGATCTACTTAATAGATTACGAGTAATATTAGCAGCAATGAAGGAAGGATATCGATCACACAGACAATTTAATGAAGTGAGTTGTATACTTAAAAGACTCCTAGAGAAAGGTATTATAGATAAAAATGATTATAAAAGCGTGATTAAAAATGTCAAATAAAGAACAATTATTCGTTATCACCTCAAATAAATCATACATTAAATTGTCTCTAGATTATGAGTACGAACTCGATCGCAATCAAGAATATGAATTGGGATTAAAGTATTTCTCTGTTTACAATTCCATTAGAAATATCAACGAAAAATATAACCAAATAAAAATATCAACAGATAATGGAGTTACAAAACCATACGTTTACTAACAGGAAGCTATGAATACGTAGCCATTAACGAATACCTATCTGAATATGGAGGAAGTGCAAATGGTAAAAACAGTATTGAATTCGAAGGTAATTTGAATCTGAACAAAATAAAATTGATATTAAGAAATAATAGTCAAGTTGATTTCAACGTAGAAAATTCATTGAATGCGTTACTAGGATTTGATAAACAAATATACACGCAATCCACTTTAGCTCCACACAAAGCTAATATCGAGAATGATATCGATGTGATAAATATACATTGCAATTTGAAAAAAGGTGGATTTTTCAACGTCAGATTATTTACAGTTTTCCAACATTCACTGTACCGATTGGATATAGAATTATAGAGAAACCATTTCAAACGACATATTTACCACTTAATTCGTTCATGATTAAAGATATAAATCTGGAAATCAAAGATGGTAAAAATAGGTTTATAGATTTTGGAAACGAGGAAATTGTTATTCAACTTCATTTAAAACAAAAAAATTAAATTAAACACTCTTCATTCTCTTCTTGAATAGCTAGATAATCGAAATCATCAAATTCGTAGTTTTCATCTAAACTCAAGTCATCTTTATCACTATAAGGATACATAATTCCTTCGCTGTCCGGTGCCTTTCTCTTAACGAGATTTAAATAACTTCTAAAAACTTTCTTTTGTTTATCATCATCCTTTGGAATAACTACTCCATTGGTGAAACTTTTTTCCCATGGTTTCTTAAATTCATTCGTCACATCATGTCCACTAGCTAATCAAATATAATCTTATACAGCTATCTTATCAATAGAGTAACCCTTAAACGTTTTCTTTTCTTTTAGAATACCGTCGGAAGTTAGAATGATATTGTATTTAACTTTTGGCGCTAAATATAAACCATATATAATTCCACCATCACCGTAATCATTCTTTCCTTTACATTAATCGTTTTCAGACACCAACACAGCTTCATTTAATTTATCCCAATTACTAGACGAAATGTATAAACTATCAGTATCTGTATAGTATATTTCCGGCTTAAAAAATCCATCTATTATGTGAATAAAATTATTCATTATTTTTTTTACTGTGAGATAATACGAATGATCGCAAATGACTAGGTGTTTGTCGTGTAGATTTAGGAGGTGTACAGTCAAATTCTTTTTTTTCTTCTTCATTTATCTCAACGATATATTGAGTCTCATTTACTTTAGGATAGCTTTTGACGTGTGAATCGAAGTTGGCTTTTAAAGTTGCTTCACTCCATAAATGTCTCGATGTAGTTATATCCTTCTGAATAGATTTACATACAATGAATTACCTAATAATTTCATGCAATTACTACCTACGATATTACCTTCTCGTATATATTTATTTCTTAGATCTCTCAAAATTAAAATATAATCTCCATATGGTGGAGTTTTAAAATTTTCTTCGTATACTATACTATCTAATATTCTAATAATTCGTCCACCGGCTTTAACTATTTCTTGAATATCGACCGATGTTAAAACTTCTGAACAGAAACCATTTCTGAACCTGATTTTAGTACCAGTTTCCTTATTACCTTCTTTGTTCGTAAAAGTAATTTTATCTTTAGCTGGTATGGGTTGGAAGAACTTTTTTTTTGGGATAGTCAAACCAGACTTTTAAAATAGACGTTCTAGGTCTGAATTTCTGCTCATTAAAGAGCTTAAAGTGTATGGAAAGTCAATTATGGGCCACTTGGACACCTACCGTGAATGTTTCTATATATCCTATTGTATCCAATTCCAATCTTATAATCGATAATAAAGATACATGTATAACTAAAATAAAGACGATTTGTGTTTAATTCCCGTTTGTTTACAAAGACAGTCCGCCATTACGTCGTATTTATCACATGACCACATGACGTCATTTTTGGAACCATCGTTAACCTCATAACCTTGATAGGCTACGTTAATGTTTACAATACACATCAAAATGCCGAAGCGCCGTGTCGCGCAATTTTGCAGCTATACCTGTAAAGAAAACAGTTAACACGGCTTTCCAAAAGATGCTGGTATGGGTCAAATTCGTACAATTGAAAAGGGCTGACTTCAAGGCGCCGACTGAAAACTCTCAGTCTGTTATTTATTTCACTTCAAAACTCTTTATTTTTATAGAAAAAGTTCTAAATTGAAAAGATGACATAGCCAGAAAAGTGTTTTAAAATTCGATTTCGCATATGAAACCCCATTAGAAAAATATTAAATATTACTAAATTAATACTAAAAAAATCGGCATTTAAACTTAGCCAAAGAGGTGACATATCAATTCCTCCACTCATAAGGAGGAAGAACCCTTTGTGAAGGTGTTCTTCCAAGTTTTGCAGTGCCTCCATCATTTGGCAATCCTTACCCTTCAACAGCAAGGCCAACCAGCGTTTACCTTCAAACGCAAAGTCTCTGAGTTGGATAGTTTTATCCGTCCAGCAATGAAAACATCAGCTGTCGACGCGAATATTAGATCCCTCAATCGGACATGGCTGTGTAAGGTTACGCAGGTCCTGATCGACCATTACCAAACCACACTTCAAGAGAAGCTGACCACCATTCGTACCAAGTCTTTATCATCACCTGCCGTCGACTGCATCGTTTCTCATGCCCTGTCCTGGGCCCGTCGCTCCTATGGGAAACGTCTCACTCAAGCTGTAATTTCCAAATTCTACCAAACAATCAACGAAACAAAAACCAGAGTAACCATATCTCTACCAACTGAAATGGACACTACACCTGCACCATCTAGAGCTACCACACTGCCGAACCAAACCCCTAAACAAGCCCGAAGTTCACCTACCCCTAGTTCAGCAGACATAGGTAAACGCTCTCGTAGAGAGGGCACACCACTTCTCTTTTCACTTTCAGACTCGTCTTCCCCTTCCACACCATCTGAATCTTCACCACGTGATCCAGGATCCGCCAACCTTTCTTCCTTCTGTGCGTTTTTGGACCAGCAAACCACCCCTCAGTCTCCATCCAAGTCGAGACATGTATCCAGACCTTCCCCTCCTCGAACCAGATCCCAGTCCGTTCCCAATGCTACAATTCTAACAACTACCAAACCAGTACCAATCACACCGTCGACGACCATTATAACCAAACCGCATTATCACCAAACCAAGGACAAATCATTATGGAAACTACCTGCTCTAAAGAAATCAACCTTAATAATTGGATCATCTAACCTGAATCGAATTACCAAAACCAGTTCAGACACCGAAATACATTCTTACCCCGGTGCCCAAATCCATCACATACAGTCAATCCTGGAATCATACGACCATGATCCCAAACCTACTACCATTATTCTTCATGTAGGCCTCAACAACCGTGACCAGATACCAAAGACCTCCTTTAACCAAGCCCAGAAATTAATCGCCACAGCCAACAAAACCTTCCCAAACTCCAAGATCCTCTTCACATGTATACCCATTTCAAATAAAATCTCCAAGAAAGCACAACAGAACCTCAGCACCCTCAACAACATGATGATGGAGTCCAGTATCAACAGCGCAACAATCTTACCACCCTACGAAGAAGAATTCGAAACAGTTGATAATCTTCATTGGTCTCCAGAAACAGCAAACAGCATTTATTTGTTTTGGATACACCAGCTTCAAGCATCGAGTAAGTCTTTAAACTAATTACTGGGGATAAAAATACTGAGAGGCCACCGCTAGGCCAAACTGTAGTTAACTTGAGCCGCAAAATTCTCACACCCCTTCAGCATTCAATCTTAGACCGTGGACTTAAGTTTATTCCCACACCAAAGATAGCTAACTTGAATTATCTCCGACCATCCATTGAACGATTTCAACGAAATCTTAGCTGCACATATTTTATTCGAAACCACCCCCCACGTGGTGCTAGAACAATGTTTATTCCTAAATCCACGTGGACACCCCCT